AGACAAGCACCTCAAGCTGTCCCCCTGGGTAGAGTGCTGTGGCATCACAGCTCACAGCAACCTCCAACTCCTGAGCTCAAGCGATTCTCCTGCCTCAAGTCTCTGTTTTTTGAATAGCATTTGTCACTATCTGAAAATTACCTTTATTTGCTTACTGGTTTGATTATCTCTTTGTTGCTAGAATGTAAAATAAGCAAGCTTCATAACAACAAAGACTTTATCTGACTTGGTTGCCTCTGATTCCCCTAGTGCCTGTCATCTATTAGGTTCTCAGTAAATATGTGAATAAATTAATGAATGATTCATAGGAGATGTTAATAAGGGCTAACTTGTTTCCTCCTGTGAGGAAGCGTATTTGGAAATTTCGAATTTGTATGTTTAGTAAACTCAGTGTGATTGGTGATATGACTGTATATGTGTTAGTTGGTATTTTCTTGTCTCGAGTGAGCAGTAGGTTCCATTAAAGAGTTATGTGGAAGTAAATGTTGAAAGATTCCCTGGGATTTTGTTTAGATCAGAACTCGTAGCAAAAGACCCAGCTTCCAGTTCCAGTTCTGTTAGTAGTGTTTAGGCACAACATGGTGATAGGAGTTGGTGGGCAGTTACACCTAGGATTCAGACTGATGGTTCTGAACTTTCCCCTTCCCCTATCTTAATGACCCCAGATTGGTATTATATGTTTATATTTGTAGAAATGGGCAGATAACATATGTTGCATTGTTTTCACACACCAAGCTTTTTCCTCTAAGGCAATAACATTCATTACACACTTTCACTTGAATTATGTCTTATTTTATGTTGGTAGACTAGCAAATAAGACATAGAATGTCTCCAAAAACAGTGTTCTGGAGAGTAGTGCTATGAGTGTGAGATGCCCTTTGGTTTTCATTTAAAAGGAAAGAATGAACAGGGCGGCAATGGAGAAAGGAAATCGTCCTGGCCTGGTAACATTACAGTACAACACTGAAGAGGCTCTAGGGATATAGGCTTTAATTAGAAACTTGGAAAGTTCTGTCTGTTTAGAAATAGTGAGGAAAAGCAGGCCTTCCAGCCTACTAATGTAAAGTGCACTAATCCCAAGCAGGCAAGTAGCCAGAAACATGTTGAGATAGGATTTGAAAGACAGACATTTGTTTATTGAAACTCTAAATTAGAAGCCGGTTCTTGGCTTTGCTTTATTATTATATGATACATTTTATAACGTGCTACTTCTCAACATAAATAAGCTGTGGTTTGCGCCATGTAAACAACAGAACTCTTGTTATTTCCTCTCAGGTTAAGCCAGTATTCAGCAATATTTTGTATGTTTAAAATATGAGATTTTAAAGAAGATGCCTCATTTAATGAATTTCTTGAGATTTTTAAGGTGTGTTTTGTATTTTTAAAGCATTTTGGGGGGAGGGGCTTAAGTGGAAAAAAATCACTTATGCTTTGGATGTAAATCAAAAGTAAGATTATTGCCACCACTCCCTTTATCCTCCAGAAAAGTTTGGTATCTCTTCACTTTGAAAAAATAAAAAGTTAAATGTTGGGTCTTGTCTGTGTCCTGGTGTTATAAATACATGTGTGCTTTTTTTTTCCCCCATTTTTGTTTTATTTTCCAAAATTTAACATTGAGAGTTTTCTTTGAGAATTGATGATGGAGTTGCAGTAAATATCACAACATGCTGATGGCTTTTGACATCTAGGTAAATGAACCCTCTTTCATTGTTTTTATAAAAAGGAATATTTAGTATTAATATATTATTAGCTTCTCTGATTTCCTTAAAATCATTAAATTGGTGAAACTCAGAATAGTACTAAGCATGATACATAATCCCCATTGAATACTGAAAAATTTTAAGGTAACTTAAAGCACATAAGTAGTGCCTATAGAGTGATTAGAGTTATAATTTTCTTATTTCTGGTACCCAGTTTTCTCCATTGTCCAAAGACATCGACAAATAACCTAGACGTTATCCCCTGCCTTCTGTGCTAATAATGTTTCACAGATTTCTTGGGCACTAGATGTCACTCTTGTTCCAGTAAGGCACTACTGCATCTTAGATAAGTACTTGTACCATGTCAGAATACTTAACGTGTTTACTAAATTATAAGAGAGAGCATAAAAGGGAGGGAGGGATGGGCTGGTGGAGAGAGTAAGCAAAAGTGACAGACCTCGAGAGCCAGCTGTTGACGTCAAACATGAAAAAGCGATGGTCCAAGGGAACTACTTATGCTTTAAAAAAATACCTTTTCAGTTCTTATGGTATATATACACAAAGTTTCTCATTAAAATCACCTTGAGAATGTGTTTGTTTAATTAATTAATTATTATTATTATTTTTTTGCAGTTTTTGGCCAGGGCCAGGCTTGAACCCACCACCTCCGGTATATGGGGCTAGCACCCTAGTCCTTTGAGCCATAGGCACCGCCCTTAATTAATTTATTTTTTAGAGATAAGGTCTTGCTATATTGCCCTGGCTGGAATGCAGTGGCTTGATTATAGCTCACTGCAGCCTTGAACACCTGGCTGAAGTGATTGCTCTGCCTCAGCCTCCCAAGTAGCTAGGACAGCACCCATGCCTGGCTTTTTTTTTTTTTTTTTTTTGGCGGAGATAGGCCCTTACTATATTGCCTAGGCTGGCTTCAGCCTCTCAAAGTACTGAGATGAGAGGTATGAGCCACCATGCCTGACTGAAAGAATGTTTACAATAGACTCTAAGGCTTCTACTGATCCTCCTTCTGTAGGTTTAGGGCGATTCAACATTTTTAATGAGGCTTAAGGTGATTCTGATAGTCTCTTGTACTAGAGGAGAGCAGGAATTAGCCTTCATGTCTAAAATTAAGTGACACTAATAGTCATGAAGACGTTCTGCTACCCTTGGGATGGAGGGAAAGTACACATTCTCGGGGAAGCCATTCTTTTTTCTGATTTCTTTATAATCCTTTCACACATCACACATGACATTGTCTTTGGTAATAGCTGGTTTTCTGGCTGTGCTCAGATTTTCAATGAGCATCCAAAGAAAAGTTGCCTTCTCTGTGTTATTTTGGGCTTGAT